CTTGAGCCCAGGAGTTGGAGGTTGCTGTGAGCTGTGATTTCACAGCACTCTACCCAGGGGGACAGCTTGAGGCTCTGTCTCAAAAAAAAACAAAAATCAATAAACTTTGCTCCACCTTTAAAAATTATGTTCCAGTAAATCTACTGAATTGCCCACAAAGTACTGGGACAAATGGCTAATTCCTATCATTTTCCTCATGACTGAAGGAGATATTTTCTTCATGGCCTAGAAGAAAATATCTCTTCTTCTATCTCTTCATGGTGGCTCCTGCCTATAATCACAGCAATTTGGGAGGCCAAGGAGAGAGGATTGATTGAGGTCAGGAGTTTGACACCAACCTGTAGTGAGACCCTGTCTCTACAAAAAATACTAATAAAGCAAATTAGCCAAGCATGGTATTGGCCATCAGTAGTCCCAGCTACTTAGGAGGCTGAGGTTGGAGGATCTCTTGAGCTGCAGAGTTGGAGGTTTCAGTGAGCTGTGTTGACAGGACAACAGAGCAAGACCCTGTCAAAAAAAATAAGAAATCACTCCTATGTAAGATGTTGACAGGAGGCTCCTCCTGGTGTTGGCAGTGGAACTTGGTCATTCTCAAGGTCTACCCTTCCCAGGAGCTGGCAGGAGGGCTACCTGTGGCATTGTCTTGTAGGATCAGGAGCGTCTGGGCAGGCAACTTAAGCTACGGGCAAAGAGGGAAGAGAAGGCAAAGCTCAAAGAGGAGGCCAAGCGGGCCAAGGAGGAGGCCAAGAAGAGGAAGGAAGAAGAGAAGGAGCTGAAGGAGAAGGAGAGGCGAGAGAAGAGGGAGAAGGATGAGAAAGAGAAAGCAGAGAAACTGCGGCTCAAGGAGGAGCGGCGCAAGGAGCGGCAGGAGGCGCTTGAGTGAGTGTTCCCTATGGCAGGATAGGCGCTGGGGCTGGTGCAGTAGCTTCCCCCTTGCTTCCTTTCCCTCCCACGTGTGGGGCACATGCTAGAAGGTGGCACCCTGGTCTCTCCTGCTCCCTCACCCCCACCTCAGGCTAGGCTCCACTCTGTATGCCTGGGACACTTCTTCCCATCAATTATGGGATTTTATTTTTTATTTTATTATTATTTTTGAGACATAGTCTTACTATGTCACCCTCAGTAGAGTGTTGTGGCATTAGAGCTCACAGCAACTTCTAGCCCTTGGGCTTAAGCAATTCTCTTGCCTCAGCCTCCCAAGTAGTTGGGATTACATGTGCCTTCCACAACGCCTGGCTATTTTTTTGTTGTAGTTGTCATTATTGTTTAGCAGGCCCAGGGCTGGGTTTGAACCTACCAGCCCCGATGTATGTTGCTGATGCCCTAACAACTGAGCTACGGGTGCCAACCCCAACTCATGGGAGTTTAATGAAAGAATTTTGGTTTTGTCTGTGTCAGTTATTCATTGGCAAACTGAAGCCTTTTTTTTTTTTTTTTTTTTTAGAAACAGTCTCACTTTGTCACCCTTGGTAGAGTGCCATGGCATCACAGCTCACAGAAACCTCCTGGGCTTAGGTTATTCTCTTGTCTCAGCCTCCTGAGTAACTGGGACTACAGGTGCCTGCCACAATGCCTGGCTATTTTTTGTTTGCAGTTTGGCTGAGACCAGATTTAAACCCGCCATCCTCGGTATATGGGGCCGGCGCCTTGCCCACTGAGCCACAGGCACTGCCCACTGAGGCCTATTTTTATTCTAGTCACTTCATCGACTATTTTTATTTGTTAAAATCTATTGTGATGGCCCCCTTTTTTAAAATTTCTTTTTTAAGTTTTACTTTTTGTAGAGACTGAGTCTCATTTTATCGCCCTCGGTAGAATGCCATGGCAGCACAGCTCAAGCGATTCTCTTGCCTCAGCCTCCCAAGTAGCTGGGACTACAGGTACCATCACAATGCCCAGCTATTTATTTGTTGGAGTTTGTCTGGGGCCGGCTTTGAATGCGCTACCCTCAGTATATGGAGCTGGCACCCTACCCACTAGGCCACAGGCGCCGCCCAATGGCCCACTTTTTAAATGTAGGTCTATTATGTGTCATAACAGCCTTACAGTAAACAAGAAAGGAGTTCACACTCATCTGATGCAGAAAGAAATACTTAACATGTACTTAGCAGTTGAACATTGTGTTCACTTCCAGAACCAAAGCAAGAGGTCAGCTAAAAACACATTTCATATCTCTCTCACAGGGCCAAGCTTGAGGAGAAAAGGAAAAAGGAAGAGGAGAAACGATTGAGAGAAGAAGAAAAGGTAGAGTATTTCCCACAGAATATCTGCATTCCTGCCTTTTGGAGAAATGGATGTCCTGAGTGGGGCTCTTGCCTAAATTGCTACCTAACGCTCTCTTGGTCTGGGGATAGCAGATGGTTCCCACAAGGACAAAAGAGTGTATCTAGACACAGTCTCTTGGCTTGTTCTCAGTGCAGGCCTTTCACACACCTCCTGCCTCAGCCTCCCGGCACTGCTGCCCACACGGACAACTCTGACATTTCAAGGTTGGCTGGCAATCAGTTGCTGGTCGATGGGTTTTAAAAGCTCAAGTCACAATTACATCTTCAACTTAATGATGCATAGAATTCCATTGTGGAGGCCTTGGAGCATTTTAAAGCACACACTGTATTTCCTCATCTCTTACATTGCAGCGAATTAAAGCAGAGAAGGCCGAAATCACGAGGTTCTTCCAGAAACCAAAGACTCCACAGGCCCCCAAAGTGAGTACTGCTTCCTTTGGCTTTAATTTTCTGTGCATTTGTACTTTTTAAAAATGAAAGGGTATTTATGAGTGAGATGCTCCAGTGAGAAAAAAAATGAAAAGGTGCTTTCTGGCTAGCTAGCTTTCCCTTCATCAAGATAGCAGGAGCCTTTGGCGACCCCAGGCACTTTTATTTCTGATAGTTGGAGGTTCAGTATTTTGTTCTTTTGCCTTATCCCAAAAAGGCAAAAAGATGGCATATCTGATTTAAAAAAAAAAAAATTCTGTTTTTAGATATTGCTTTGTGAATAGTTTCCAGTCAGTTATATCAGAAGATAACCTGGTCCTTACCCTTGGGAAATTTGTACTTGAAAAGGGGGCCAAGCTTAGTTATAAAAAAGACAGTAGAGGGGCAGCTCCTCTGGCTCAGTGAGTAGAGCGCTGGCCCCATATACTGAGGGTGGTGGGTTCAAACCTGGCCCCAGCCAAACTGCAACAAAAAAATAGCCAGACGTTATGGCGGGTGCCTGTGGTCCCAGCTACTTGTGAGGCTGAGGCAAGAGAATTGCCTAAACCCAGGAGCTGGAGGTTGCTGTGAGCTGTGACACCACAGCACTCTACCAAGGGCAATAAAGTGAGACTCTGTCTAAAAAAAAAAAAAAAAAAAAAAGTAGAGAATTCACAGAAGTTTACTTTCCTAGTTTGATATTGGTCACCTGGCAGTTCAGACCTTCTGAGCCACCATTTGTATGTGGAGACCCCAGCCTGCCTTCCCCATCCCCTAGAGCAGGCGGATTTCCTCCTTCCATATCCTTTTCTATGCATTTACTCCTTGCCCCCACAGTGTGTTTATATGCATATGTAATTCAGGATTGTCCTGAATTTATCATGTTGCTTCTTTGGTTTACTTAGCCATGTCTCAGAGTTTTATCTTTTGCCATGTTGCGCATTTCATCTATTTTTTTCTTTTCATAACGGATCTTTCTATCTCAAAATATTTAAGTGACAGTGGTTGAACAAGGTGCACAATCTGATAACCTGAATCTAACGTATATACACATTGTGTAGTGACCACATAGCCACTTCATTCCTTTTCATTGCTATGTTGTGACATTTCATAAAGCCATGGTATCCTAGTTTCTACACCCCCTCATTGGTGCAGTGAAGGTCTATGAGCGCCACTGTGTTTCTCATGTGTATTTTCTGGGACAACCAGCTGCTCTGAACTAGGCTGATGCCACTGTACTCTGGCTTGGGCAATAGAATGAGACTTTGTCTCCAAAATAAATACATTGTCCTAAATATTCCCCCCCCCCTTTTTTTTTGAGACAGAGTCTCACTCTCACCCTGGGTAGAGTGCATGCATAGCTCACAACAACCTCAAACTCCTGGGTTTAACTAATTCTTCTGCCTCAAACTCCCGAGTAGCTAGGACTACAGGCCTGCACCACCACACCCGCTAGTTTTTCTGCTTTTAGTAGAGATGAGGTTTCACACTTCCTGAGGCTGGCCCCCCAACTCCTCAGCTCAAGCATTTCGCCCACCTCAGCCTCCCAGAGTGCTACTAGCTAGTGTTACAGGCATGAACCACCACAACTGCCTTTTTTTTTTTTTTTTTGAGACTGAGTCTTACTTTGTAACTGGTAGCCCTGGCTACTTTGGGAGGCTGAGGCAAGAAAATCGCTTGACCCCAAGAGTTTGAGGTTGTGAGCTATGATGTCACTCTACTGAGGGTGACCAGGTAAGACTGTGTCTCAAAAAAAAAAATCCCAGCCTGGATCTCATCCCTGAGACTCTCCAGTGGCTCTGCTGTGTAACCAGACCATTGTGGTCTGCCAGCCTCAGCCATCTCATGTGCTGCCAGCTTGGGATCCCTGATTTAGGTACTAAGAATGCTGAAGGAGATCAGGAAGAGGGAGCTCAAGTATACCAGGGTGGACAAGGGGCAGAGACTGAGATACTAGATACTGACGCTTCAGGTTCAGACCAGGCTGCTACTGTGTTGAAAACATGCTTTGTGTCATAAACCAGTTTGTATTTTAAAAGTCTGGCTCTGGAGGAGCTGGTCACTCTCTCAGTATCTTTGTTCCCTCACCTAGATGCCAGTTAGTGTCTGGTCCTAACTCAGCGCTCATTTGAGACATGGAACAAGGACTTTTTCAGGACGTTGAGTCTGTTCCTTTGACTTAACTTGGATGAGTCTCAAAGCCCATCTGCCTCGGGTCCAAGATTCATCCTCTGCACGACTCTGGGATTCTAGAGGGTCTCTTCTTGATTTTAGACCCTCGCCGGCTCCTGTGGGAAGTTTGCTCCCTTTGAAATTAAAGAGCACATGGTTCTTGCTCCTCGGTTTCGGACCGCCTTCAACCAAGACCTCTGTGATCGGCTAGACCAGCTCCTCCAGCAGCAGAGTGGAGAATTCTCCTTTCTGAAAGAACTGAAAGGCCGGCAGCCCCTCAGGTCCGGACCCACCAGAATTTCCAACCTGAACACAGACGTTTTTAACAGGTTAGAGCCCAAGGAGACTGTCCTTTGCCCATTGGTAGTAAACAGAGCCCCAAGAAACCTGGGATAGGAGCTCTGGCTCTGGCTCAGCCCTGCTGCTGACTTACTGTGGCCCTTGGGCCAGTCATTCCCTCCCAGTCCTTAGGCCTCTGGCCTCTTTCCACCCAGCCTTCCTTTCAGCCCTAGAAACACTTCCCAAGAAGGATCTTGTTTCTATGGTGGTCTCCCATTAAGGGGCATTCCCCCTGCCTTTTTCTTTCTGATCTGTGTATTCCACACAACCCCCTTATTGGAAATGCTATGGGGCAGCAACTTGACACCCCTCCTCCTTGTTTTCCCTCTATACTACACCCTCCTCTGTCTAGCCCCTGAATTTGCTCCTGACCTTTCTTTGGTAACAGTGATGCTGCTGCCTAACAGTTGCCCATCTTTTCAGAATTGTTATGACAAACTTACCAGGGAGACCCCAGGTGGCATGTGAGTGAGTTTCAAAAGAGACACATCCCTGAGTACAGTGTTTTTACTTCCCAGTGATGTTGTAATTGTGGAAAGCGGGAAGGTTGATGGTATTCCAGAACGCAAGAAGTTTGGCAGGATGAAGCTACTGCAGTTTTGTGAGAATCACCGACCAGCATACTGGGGGACATGGAATAAGCAGACAACGGTCATCCGTCCGCGGGATCCCTGGGCCCAAGACAAGGTAAGCAGGTCACAGGTATGGCTGTGTACCTCCCCTGTCCCTCCTGTACTGCCTTGTTGGAACTGCTCACTTGAACCCTACAAGTGTACTAGCTTCTCTGCTTTGCCCTCTTCTTCCTACCCTGAAGGTGATCGTGATGCCTCCTGTTTCTTTTCTCAGCAGCTCCTGGACTATGAGGTGGATAGCGATGAGGAGTGGGAGGAGGAAGAGCCTGGAGAATCCCTATCCCACAGCGAAGGGGTAATGGCAGGCCTGCGGCAGTGTCAGCTTCTAGCCCAGACTGTGTCTCACAGGTGCCTGGTGTCTGACCCACAGCATGGCTTGAAAATTTAAACCCATATTTTACATCTGGATTTCCATCTCCTCTTGGGAAGCCTCATTTGAGGCACTCATGTGCCTGGCAGCTGTGGGTTGGTGCTTAGCTTCATCTGTACCCTGTTCACCATGGCCCATAACACCCTTTTTTCCCTCACCTCCAGCCTGATGTCTCTCCTCTAGCCTGCTGTGACTTAATACGGTTTGTGCTGACCCTCATAGTATCTGTAGGAATGGCCCTTGACATGGCAAATGTTGACAGATTTCCCCCTTTTTTTGGAGACAGTGTCTCCTTTGTCTCCTAGGCTGGGGTACAGTGATATGATCTTAGCTCACTGCAGCATTGAACTCTTAGGCTCAAGTGATACTCCTGCCTTAGCTTCCCAAGTAGCTGGGACTATAGGTGTGTACCACCATACTCAGCTAATTTTTAAAAATTTTTTTTTTGAGAC